GGATTGCCGCTGTAAGGAGCTAAATTTGAAGATGCAAATTAAGTGGTTCGGGAAATGTGCTTTCTTTCCATCCAGCAAAGCTCTTGAATGACCGAATAAGGACAGTGAAGAAGGGAAAAGCGCAAAGTTTACGGCGTTTTTTTAGGACATGTAGTAGATGGTAGGACATGTTGCTCACCTCGCTGGCAACCGACAAACAGTGTACATTAGTGACTGGTGTCCACTGGGAAGTAAGCGACTACTGGACCGACGCGCAAAAGAGTACTGCAAATACACCGAACAATCGGTAGGTGCTGCCCGAAAGTACGCAGCCCAGGATCGAAAGGGCCTGACTCAGCTTTGCCCGACATGTGGGAACGTCCTGGTAAACATCGCTAACAGGGGATACCCACACTGGTAGCCCGAGCAGTCTTGGTATTCTTGATAACAGATGGTCTGATCAAAGCAGTGAGAAAATTTCGTTAGAACTCAATTTTTAACAGCTACTGTTTCACAGCTGTTTTCCTCACACCACCAGCGCAGGTACTCATTTTGCTAAATTCTGCGTTCATTGCGTTTAAATAGCTCATTATCTGCATTCGGGGCCCATCTTCCATCGCACCAGCTCATTTTCATTGTCAGCTTAACATTATGATTTTTTATATTCGGTTGCCCGTTTTTTACAGTCCTGCTTCACCCACTTCCGGGACCAGACCTCACATGTTGCATCGAAATAGTACGTAGTTGCACGCAGAGCATAAGACAAATTACAGCATACAGTTGATGAAGACGAGAATAGTCTTTATTACTGAGCAGAGCCCTCGGATGAACTTTCTCTTCTTAGAAAACAACTACTTGAACTGGAGAAATAGCACTGTGTGTTGAAGAAATTGCCTGTGATTTTAATTCTTTTTCGTAATCTTTACAATGGGCACAGGTGACAAGGTGACGCTGCTGGTTGAAAACACACGATTCATCGTAAATACGTCTGTTCTGGTAGCGAAGCCAGACACAATGCTTGGACGAATGTTCCGTGTTCGTGCTCATTGCAAGGAAGGTGCTGAACTTGTGCGGCCAAATGAGCGCAATGAATACGAAGTAGCCGAAGGACTTTCAGCATCCTGTTTTCGTGCAATCCTTGTTCGTTCCATTCTCATTTCTTTTCGGAAAGCCTCCATTCATTTCTTTGCACTCTTCCTGTTGGAACCAGGCAAGAGAGGAAAACGCATTTTCAGGCATTACGGCAGACCGAAGACGCATCCTAATTTCGGCACTTCTCTCTTCAAAATAGTGCCACTTCCTCACTTCGTCTTTGCCGTGCTTGAATATATTCTGGTCTGTGTGTGTCAAATTTA